CATTCTAAATGTATTTGGTATACCATGTGGAATTTTATATAAACTTTGGAAAAATAAGCTTGAATATTTTTACTTTAGGAGCACTGTGAGAGAATTTATCCCAACTACACAGCCCCCTTACGTGATGAACAAAAGCATGTAACATTATGTGAAAATTGAGGCCAAAGCTCTTCTGTAGGTCGTGAGGCTAATTAAGTATCCCTGCAGTGTAACAAATGGTTCAACTCAAAGCAGTTGGAGGTTAAAACAAGTAAGCAGCAGAACATTTCAAGAATCTTGATCAGTCATTGGTATTAAACAGAAATTATCTGTATTACCTTCCTTTTAATAATGTACTCAAGAAAGTACATGGGGATGGATCCTGACTGAGATTCCCCCTAATACCATGAAATGACGATTCTGAAATTTCTTCCTAGATTTGAGTGTGCACTTAATGCCATATTCTTGGCATGAAAAACTGAAATAATGAGACAAAGGAAAAGGAGGCTCCAAATCTCCCCTCCCCCACCATGGGCAGAAAGGGATGAAATTTTGGGTTTTTAAAGCTCTAAGAATTCTAGCTAAAAGATAGCATGATTAAAGGCCTATGTTGGGACTGACATAGATACCATTTTTGTTCAGTGCATAAAGCCTTTCGAAGGAACTGCATCCTAAAAACTGAACTACTTCCCACTCCCTCAGACTGGCCCACCAGCCAAGCATCTGTGTGTTGATTTCCCTCAATCCATTACACCTAAAACACTGAAACTTGTATTCTAGCCTCTTTTGGGCTTAGGCATGGACACTTGCCATAATTCCAGCTACTTCTTTCTAAGAAGTCTTCTAGATTACAAATTCTTAGAAAAAAGATTTCCTCACTGAAACAGACATACAAAAAAATATATAAAACTGCTTCCTTTTCTCTGAATATATTTATACAAGCTATGACATGTGGAGAGGAACTAGCCATCTTGGAACCACAAGAGAACAAACCTCAAGATGAAAAGCAACACACTGAGATTGTTCCCCTTTAAAGATGAAGAGGATGGATACCTTGGTTCTTGGAGACTTCATCTTAGTTCTAAACCTCTGGTTAAGTCCATACACTTCTTTTATGGCTCAAGCTATTTTAATTGATGTCTACTCTACTTGTACCCTAAAGTATCCCATAATAGTTCTAGTCATAGGGTGAAAAGAGACTTCAATCACATCTGCTAAAGCTTGAAAAAAAGAATAAATAACAGGCTTCCATCTGGTGTGACCAAGAAATGTTTGAAACACATAACCTTCAACTATTTGGCCTCTTCCTTAAAATTCCTTTCAGTAGACTCTTGATGATATTTATTCATCCCCCAAACTTTAACATCCTATTATGTGTAGGACTGTCAGATAAATATGTATTAATTCTAAAATTTATTCATTATCTAAATTCTAAATTTACCTGGACATCTGTATTATTCACTTTCCTGTCAGCTGGACCAAATACACAACACCTGCAACTGGAGGAGAGGGTTATTTTGGTTCATGGTTTCTGAGGGTTCAGCCATGCCTGGGTGGCTGGCTCAAGGCAGAGTCATAGCTGAAGGGTATCTTGGAGGAAAGTTGTTCTGTGCATGGATCCGGGAAGCAGAGACAAGGAAGGAGCCAGGGATGAAAATACTCCCTCCCAGTGACACAGCTCTTCTGTGTCAAGTCCTAGCAGCATAGGAAGTAGGAATAGCAGCTAGGAACTCATTGATGGATTAATCCAGTGATGAATACAGCATACCCATGATCCAGTAACCTTCCGAAGCACCAACTCTGACTGCATGAGACTTTCAGGTGACCTTTTAGATTTAAACCACAGCAATGTCCTATGTTAATATCCGCCGAATGTGACAACCTTAATTCAGTGCTATGTGTTATGATAGGCTATGGGGATTAACACATTCCTTATTTCGAGGAACTAATCTCCTGCAGTGCCTCTGGTGATTCTAATGTACAGATCGGTTGGAAATCCGCTGCATTTGAGACCCTGATTCAACTCCACATTCTACATTTGAGGAAACTGAAGTCTGAACAGGTCATGAGTTTCTCAAAGACACAAAGCTGCTCAAGGGCAAAGGTGGAACAAATTATTCCCACATTCAATATACTCTTTCCAATTGTCTTATTGTTGGATTCTAAGTGAGGCAGGCACATTTAGGGCAAACTCCTACACTTAGAGGTGAAAGCTGTTGCCCCTTTAAAAGACTATCAATGCACCTTCAAAGTTGTTCATCTAGAATTTGTTTCATCTAGAATTATTTGGAGAAATTTACAAGGAGTAAGGTCGCTGAGTCACTCTTAATCATTCTTTTTTTTTTTTTTTTTTTGTAACGGGAACTGAACTCCGGACCTTGTACTTGGAAGGCAGGCAGCAGTACCACTGAGCTAAATCCCTGGCCCAGTCTTAATCATTCTTTTAGGTGACCAGAGTAAACTTTGCTTGTTATAATACTAAATTCTCTATCCAGAAGCATTAGTGGGTCCTTTCTGAATATGTACTCCATGACTTTAAACTGAGAATGCTCAGAAATGTGCCCACCCCTGTGTGTGCTTTCCTATATGAATATGCAGAGGTTCCCCAATGAAAACCCCACACATTCTTTGTTCAGAGAAATAATTGCTTTCTACCTAACTCCTATGGTCTCCCTACTTGCTATAAATAACAAACCTCTCTAAACTCTTTCATCACTTCTTTGTACTTACTAGGTTTGCACTCAACAAAATATGAATACACCACGTTCACTGTATCTTCACTCCTTTTCCTAAAGACTTCTTGTTTGAGGGTGACATGCAAGACTAATATTGTTTGACTTGGTAAAGAGAGAAATGTTTATAAACTAAATCGTCCCATTTCCTGTCGTGAGAATGGTAATCATACTTGAGTTGCTTAAGTTTCTTATGGTAGAATAGTATTTTGAACAAGACTTAATGTCCTGAAAATCTCATCCAAATATGTAGAAACACTTGCTTGAAGACAAAGCTATCCAAGGGCCAGGGATTTAGCTCAGTGGCACTGTGTCTGCCCTTGCAAGCACAAGGTCCTGAGTTCAATCCCTGGTACAAAAAAAGAGAAAGTTATCCAAATACCCTTTGGAATATAATACATGTCAGGTACGTGTATATGTGCAATATATTATATATAGCTATTACATATAGCTCATTTGAGTGATATGTATCTCAAAGTTGCTGTACTTTTCAAGTATCACTGTTTTCCTTTATGTTTCCTCAGGTATCCTTTGTATAATCAAGATTGACAAATTCCAATCCTCAGTAAACAATGAGCTTTGCTTGAAGTTTTAAAACAAACATCTCAATGACTTCCAGTGAAGATGTCATCATTCCTGCTTAAAGAACGCATCACATTTATACCATCTCATATTCCTTCTTAAGGAACATAATTTGATAAAGAAATTTTCAAATAAGCCTTTCTCTTTTACATTGACCATTCTGTTATGTTTTTGTAAAATAGAATATTTAATCCTTATTTATTAATCTCTTGCTGGAGTGGTGTAATGTATCTTAACTTTTAGCAAAGGAAAGTTGCAGAACAGCTTAAGTTTTTTTATAATGTATAAAAATTATGTTTACTTTTTCAGAGTAGTACTTTGGGGTTAAAGGCAATGTGTCAGGGGGATTCAACACATGCAATTTCATTTAACAAAAGTATTTTTAATACAATTTCATGCAGAATTGCCTTAAAGGGGAGTTTTATATTTTCAACTACAAATAGTTGCTAAGGGGTCATACAGAGAATATTGATGATGGTTGAAAAATATCTTTGAACTGGTATCTATGTCTAAGTGTGACTACCATGTGTATGTATTCTTGACAAACAGTATACTATTCCTGTGATTTTTTTTACACTAGGGATAATGCATAAGAAATTAATCGTCATATATATTATTATCCCTAATGTAGGGAAGAAGAATATTTAACTACCCATGTTATATATTTTACTCATACTATGCCAGAGGGGAAACTGTCATGCAGTTATACATGTAATCTTGGGGTTTTCACATATGTAGGTATTCATTTTGAGTAGATTTAAGAAAAAAACTTTTAATGAAAGTGAATTCCAGTGGGGATAATATAAATGAGTATTCTAAAAAAGAGTATTCTAAAAATAAGAAAGGACAGGGCCATTTTTTGTGCTTTTTCTTTTGCTATTATTAGATCAAAAAGTGTTAACGTTGGTACTTGTTGTCTTAATGCATTTATTAATAACAGCATTGAGATGATAAAAAACAGATTACAGTAGCAAATATAAGATTATTCTGACCAGTTACTTGAGCAGAAAAGTTTAACTATCTCATTCAGTCTTCAGCAGTTCTGTAAAATAAGTATTATCATCTCCAATTTTCAGATGAGGAAATAAGGGTTCAGCAAGTTTAACCAACATATCTAATCCATGCAGCAAGTTAGTGTTTGACACAGACCATGAGTCTTCTGAGTCTGTTCATTTCACCATGAAATATGCAAGCAATAAAATGTAACACAAGTTAAAAAAAAAATGCATCACAGAATTCAAAGTTTTCTGGACAGGCTGCCTTACATTATACTCCAACTCAAAGATCATCAGAGCAGAGAACTCAAAAGTTTTGTCTAGACACTTTTCCTTTTTACCTTTTCTAAATCTTTCATTATGAAGTAATAGCATAAATCATGTGACTGTCACTCAAGAAGACAGAGACTAGGTTAAATCAATTTTCCATAGAAGATCTTAACCTAACAGATTTCCTCTTAGCCTTCTTGTCTCATGTTTCCTACATGCCAAATGAAACAATGATAAAGACTAACAAATTTTACTTTAATAAAAAATAATCCCAAAACATATTCCTAGAGCATTAGACTATACAGTAGTTAGAAAATTCCAGAACCGATATGATAAATTCAGATGATTTTTGTAATTCCTTATAATGGAAAGCATCAAAATCACAGTCCTTTAGATGTGCAGATCCTTGAGCAATACATCCAGTTATGGTTCATGAATCCTTTGGGGCCTGTCAAGTTGACTCTCAGTTGCTCCATTCTTTGCCATTTAAGAGAAAAGTGCACATTACCATATCACAAACAAAAACTCTCCAGCGCAAGTGTCCTTAGCACAGACAGGGAAAGTGTGACAAGTAAAATGTTTCTATTTATAGTTAAAATATGAAAGCTACAGTGTTCAACCTTTCCAATTAGCTTTTTAAAGTAACTCTCTGCATACCTTGAAGCTTCCCACTGTTTGACTATTTCCAAAACTCAAATTTACTCTCAAAAGACAAGATATATCACTCCTGAAAGGAGTCAACATTATTTGATCGTATACTTTGTTATGCTCATTGATCTTTTAAAATGAATCACATTACATTATAATCTCACTTGGTATAGGATGACAGTATTATTCCAGGACAAGTATTTCTGTCTACAAAATGTTAAAATACACCACTGAGACTTCTACCTGCGGGATAGTAGAGTCTGTCTTACCTGCCTGGGAATGTTGTACTGAGTTGAAGTCACAGTTACACAAATAACATTCCAAACATTTTTCTCCCTCTGAATTAACAGGGCCAGTTAGAATTTTTCTCATTCCCATTGGTTAGAAATTCTGACACAGGGACCTAAGGAGCTCTCCAGTTCTAGAATGGAGTGAATGCTATTCACATGACCTGCATGAGATACGAATCCATGTCTTCCACCTGTGTGCCCTCCTGCCCTTTAGCCAGCATGACTCAACACTTGAAAATTGGGCAACCTGACTGTGAATGTCCTCTTTGAACTTTGACTTCAGAGGAATGGCATGTCTTAAAATGTTGTCCATTTACTAATTAACAGAGAACATCAAATTCCCCAAACTGTGAGGTAAAGCTTGAAGTTCAAGTTTTAACGCAGGATAGCTGTGTTAATTCTCTTAGGTTTCCTGACATCTATGACTTTTTACGTTTAGATAATGAGACTATTATATGTTATGCCTTTGGGACTTTTTCCTTCTTTCCTCAGACTCCCAGACATAGGAAGGTGGTCTCTTGCTCATCAGATCTATTCATTGATAAAAGTCATTAAATAATTATTGATGAAAGAGCTACTATTCCATGGTTGTTAGGAGATTCTTTTGAAAGCTATTAGGCAATTAATCATTGTGAGCTTTTGATAAAAGGATATGCAAAGTATACCCGAGAACATACTCTATTTTGCTGTGAACAGTGAGCTACTGACTTGAAGTTGTTCTTTCTTAAGAGATTTAAAAAACTATCTCATTCCTTAATATGCAGATGCTCTTTGACTTATGTGGAGTTACATCACAATGAAACCCACTCTAAGTTGAAAATATCTCAAAAAGTACTTTTAATACACCTATAGTGTCATGTACATCACAGTTTAGCACCACGGTATAATGTAGAGGATCAACTGTTCATCCTCAGCTTAAAAGAGAGTATTAATGAGCATATGACTAGCTTGAGAAATGATCAAAATTCAAAGTATAGTTTCTACTGAGTATTGCTTTGGCAAAATCATAAAGTCAAAAAAAACTTAAGTTGAGCCGTCATAAGTCAAATCATTATAACTGAGGGACCAAAAGAATGAGTACTATAGGAAGAAGGTGGGAACCTTAGGAGGGATAAAGAAGGTTTTTAGAAAGCAGATTTTTTTAAAAAACTGTGTTGAAGTGTGCAAAATTCTCTTCTCAGTGACCTCATCAAAACAGTCCTGGCACAAGCCAGGTGTGGTGGTATATGCCTGCAATCCCAGCAGTCTGGGAGGCTGAAGTAGGAGGACTGCAAATTTGAGCCCAGCCTTGGCAATTGAATGAGTCCCTCTTTTGAAATAAACATAAGAATAAGAGTTGGGGACAAATCACAGTGCAAAAGCACTGGGATCAATCCACAGTTCAAGAAAGCAAAAGAGAGAGAGACAGAGACAGACAGAGGAAGAGAAGAGAAAATAAGAATAAAATAAAATAGTTCTGGCCCTATGTTCAGTTAATTCTTCCAAGAGTTACTAATCCATATATTATTATTATTAATATCTAAAATCCATCCAAGTATTTCATTGTCAACAGTAGTCCCCAAATGACAGAATAAGAAATACTCTCTCAATTAAAATAATTTCAGTATTGTCATCCTACTCAGCTTCCTTTCAAAGCCATATTTAATTCTGTCATGGATATATGTGTCTGGATTCTTTTGAATCCACTTATCTCATAAAGGGATTATGTAACTCAATTGAGTACATAACTGTTTCATTATTTTAGTGAAATATCTTACTGACATTTATTTTTCTGAGAGTATATCCTGTTCATTTCCTATAGCTTAATTATTTTTCTTATAGACATGACTGCTTTCAAGGGAGGACTGAAGAACATTCTCCCTACACAGCTCCTGTTGCTACTTTTAGTTTCTATTTAGACACATGGGAAAAGGCAGCTTTCTCAAAGATAGTGAGAATAGCACTAACTTCCATCTACTAATATTTTTCCTTAGTTAATATTAACTGGTGAATAAATGCTTAGTTAAAATGATTCTGATAGACTCGTAATGCCATCTACTGGATAATCTTCAAAACATCATCCCATGGGCCATTTTTATAGTGACAGAGAAAACAATTCTGAGCTGGGGGTGTAGCTCAGTGGCACTGTGCCTGTGCCTACCTGGCAAGCCCAAGGTCCTGAGGTTGGATCCTCAGTTCTGCAAAAAAAAAAAAA